GAATTCTCCCTGAAAATATATCTCATCATTCCCACAACTTATATGATATGACTCATAAGTAGCTCTGTAGCTTGCACAGTTTTGAATGTCTTTCTTTATTCTTGTAAATAGGAAAAAAATGCTTTCCTCCAATCATCCGCATATTCTTAGAGCGTAAAATTTCATTAAAAAGCTTGGTTAGCCACACCTCACCCTCATCTCCCAGACACTTCCAAACTTAATAGGGATCCATCAGGCCCAACGGCTTTTCCATTGTCCATTCTTGAGAGCTGGAATCTCTCCTCGATACGGCTCCATTATCGATTGAAGCCTATAATCTCGATATGCGGTAGAAAGCCAAATTCTGATCATCTTCGTTAATTAGCAAGTCTTGGGTCGCATAATTGCTTCCCTCATTAAACAACTTGTAAAAATAGGCCTCCCATTTGTCCTTAATATCACCATCAGTAACTAACACTTTATCATCTTCATCCTTTATACACTTTACTTGGTCCAAATTTCTTTCTCCCGTCTTTGTTCCTAACTCCTGATAAAACCCTTCATAAGCTTTAGTACGTGCTCACTGCTTTCTTCGTCTCTTTTTTAGCCAACTGATACTTTTCCCGGTTTTCTATACTATTGCACGAGTGTATGGCCTTAAAACAATCTCTTTTCTGTGTGACTTTCTCTTGCACACTCTTATCCCACCACCAAAATATCTCGGAGCTAATTTTTGTGAGCTCCTAGATGCTAGGGAAATCTGTCTATAGGGCTGTAACTTGAGGAAAACCTATTGCCTCACTTGAAACTCTATCCGTTTTGTGGGCATCCGCTTTTTGCTTCATAAGATTCACAGCATGATGCAAATGATGTTTGGTAATTGATAATGCCTCCTCCCTTGCTGTAAAAGATCTGTCTATAGCTTTCACAACTGCACTTCTAGGTAAATAAGGCACATGTATAGGAGGTTTTTCCCCATATAGTAGTTCATCGGGAGTTACTTTAGTGGAAGTATGATAAGTAGTATTGTACCACCATTCAGCTAGAGGTAACCACTTGCTCCAATCCTTTGGTTTCTTCCAGCACATACATCTCAAATAAGTTTCTAAGCATTTGTTTAATACCTTAGATTGCGCCACCGCTAGTAACTCCTCATATATTGAGAGACTCTGGTGCCTAGGAGCCAAAGCTTTGCTGAAAAACGCAATCGATTCTCCCCCATGCATCAAGACTGCACTAATTCCTATCCCACAAGCATCAGTTTTGCCACAAAAAGGTTTTGAAAAATCTGGAAGGGTTAGAGCAGGGGTTGCCACTAATGTTGCTTTTAATTCCTTAAAGGTAGCTGCTGTGTCGGATGTCCATTTAAAACTGCCTTTCCTTAATAGATTGGTTAGAGGCCTCACCAATTCACCCTAGCCCCTAATAAACTGTCTATAATAACCAGCCAAGCCCAAAAAAGAACGAAGTTGTTTAACTGACTGAGGTTCAGGCCAATCCAACACTGCTTTAATCTTCTTAGGATTTGTAGAGACCCTACCTTTTTTGATAATATGGCCCAAATACTCTACTTGAGTTGCAGCAAAGGTATATTTGTTTTCTTTAACAAAGAAGTGGTTCTCCTTTAATATTTGCAATACCTACCGTAAGTGTTGGAGATGTAGATACATACTGGAGCTGTAGACTAAAATGTCATTAAAAAAAAAAAAAAAACCAGCACAAATTTCCTTAGAAAATTTTTGAAAATACTGTTCATGGCTCCTTGAAAAGTGGCCGGAACATTAGTAAATCCAAAAGGCATCACTAGCCACTCATAGTTACCGGAATGAGCCCTAAAAGCTGTCTTATAAGTGTTACTTGGCTCTATTTGAATTTGGTGATATCCTGCCTACAAATCTAATTTTGTGAACCATCTAGCCTCTTTAAGCTCATCCAACAGCTCTTCCATCAAAGGAATAGGATACTTATTCTTGACAGTCCTTCTATTAAGTTATCGAAAATCAATACACATTCTCCATGAAGCATTCTTCTTCCTTACTAAAACTATGGGTAAAGCAAATGGAGAAGCACTTTCTTGAAAACTCCTTTTTCAGAAGGTCATTTACTTGCCTCTCTATTTCATCTTTCTGGACAGCTGGTTACCTATAGGGTCTTAGATTAATCGGGTCAGATCCTTCTTGTAAAACTATAGGATGATTATGACCCTCTCTCAAAGGAGGGAGTGATTCAGGTTTAGTGAACACATCCCCAAATTCCCTTAATAATTGTCTTACACCATTTCTAGCATCGTTCTTGTCATCATACACCACTCCCAAAGTTTGATCCTTACCCCCTTCTATTGCTTGCAAAAGGAAGAGTTGACCGCCTTTTTCCAATTTATTATCTAAATTGTTTACCAATTGACAATTTCCTTGACAAGTAGGTTGTAGGGTACACAAGTCATCCTTATACCAAAATATCATTGCCATGCTGTTATAATCCCAAGAAGCATGATGAACTACACCCTTCAACCACTTAACCCCTAAAACAATGTCATATGTCTTCATGTCCATGATTTTAAGTTCCCATTCAAATTCCTTCCCCATCATATGCCGTTTGAAGTTCCTCCACCACCCGTAAACCTTCAATCTTCCTCCTTCAGCTACACCAGCCTCTGCAATGAAAGTTTGACTACCCCTCCATCCTAGTTTCCTAGTCAACTGTGCATCAAGATAGTCATGAGTAGCTCCATCATCAATCAAAATTTGAATAGGCCGCTTACCAACACAACCTCATAGTCTCATTGCCTGTCGAAGGACCCTCGGTGCCTTGAATGGCATGTAGAGAAATTTGCAAACACTCAGAATCTTCTGCAAGGTCACCCACTGTCTCCCCTTCCTCTACAATGCAATCACCATCTGAATCTAAATCTAACAGATAGAGCTCTAACTTCTGTTGCTGAGGACAATTGTGGCCTTTGCTAAATTTCTCGTGACAGTAAAAACAGAGTCCTCCACTGTGATGTTCTTCAACCTCATCGAGAGCCAATTTTTGGGAGGTGGTCACCCTGTTCTTGGTAGTGGAAGTGTGAGAGTTTGAGGAAACAGAGGACCTGTGCCTAGCTTTGAAGAAAACGTAGACGTTTTGGTGGCAAGAATGGGTTTCGAGTTAGTAAAGTGGGACCCATTCCAAGAGGAAGTAGTTTTCGACACTTTCCATCTGTCCCATGTTTGCGATGCGTCAGAAGATTTCTTGGAGGGCAATTTCTAGTCGGCCCCATCGTGTAAGTTCATATCATGAATTTTAGCTATACTCCGTGCCTCGTCTATGGATTGGGGGTGTAAAATGCGGACCCCTTGAGCAAAGTCGAGACTTAACCCCTCCACGTAAGTTTGAATTGCATGAGCCTCTGGCAGACGGAGTTTGTAAAGAAGATCGTCAAATGCGTCGTTGTAATCGTCGAAGCTACCTAACTATTTCAAACGCTTCAATTCCGCCATGGGCTCTTCAAAGACCACCGAAGCGTTTCTTGATGGCATTGCGATACTCCGGCCATGTTAACAAAGCTCCCTCGGCGCCTTCTTCCAATGTCAAATGCCAAATGTATGCTTTGTCATCCGAATGTAAGCTTGCGATAGTCACCTTCCATTCTTCGGTGTGTCGTCCAGCTGGAATAATCGATCGCATTTGGCTAACCAACCGATGATATTGTGACGCTGAAAGTGGGGGAAGTCCATCTTTGTAAAACGTGTTGGAGGTTGATAGTCATGCCCCTCAGTTTGTGTTCATGCAACTTGCTGATGACCATTGCATCGAGCCCCATGATTTCTTGACTCATGATCTTGTGGAAGATTAGTGAGTTGGGTGGATAATGCCTTGATAGCACTAGGTAAGACTTTTAATTCTCGTAATTCTTGAAGTTACTTCGATGGCCTGCAACCGATTGTTAGAAGCCTTCGACATTTGATATTTGGCTAACTGAGGACGAGCGATGGGCATAAAGGTCAAGGAAGGACTGGCCCTGGTACCATTGATACACGGTTGTAGAAGTCTTAGGGAGGAGGGAAGGAAACAGAAGCGAGAGAGAGAGAATAGGAGTTTGGAGACGAGAGAGAGAGAGTCTGTTGAATATTATTCATGAATCATTCATCAACAACAACATTAGGCTATTCGAGTCATATATATAAGAGTCAGCCCGTGGATTTAACCATGTAGTGCATCACTAACTAATCCTAAATTTAATTGCCTAAACTACCCCTTAAGGCCTTATGGACTTAGTAAGCCTTTGTTTAATAAATTCCTGTGGCTGATAGACTTAGTAATACCACTCCTAATCCTGCTATTTATGATTATATAACACAGGGTCCCAATATTCCAAGTGCCAAATCTGAGTTTGCTTTCATGAACTAACTTCTTTAACCGCCTCCATCTATAAGAATACAGTACCTCTTGCTCATTTAACACTACATTTGGGCGACAATGCAATGGCTCTTGCTCACTTTTGATTGCACTTGAGCCATACAGCACATTACTTCCGGGCAATGACCTAGCAGTAGCACAATTCCTTCATGGATCCATGTCATAAAAGATTCAATAGAGTTTTATGTTGGCTGTCGGGGGCCTCACACAACCCTCATTTTTTACTTGGGCTTGGACCGGCTATGCAACATAGGCGGAGTTACCTTTATACATGTATATACAAAAGAATAATTAAACCATATAGATACACATGATTAATTTATCTTAACTTTTTTCTCAAGTCTATCTTTCCCTCTCCTCCCTCTCTTTCTTTTTCTTGTTTGACAAATACGGGGGCATAGCAAAGGAGAAGCCAAAAAAAAAAAAAAATGGCAGTGGAAAGTTCTAGCCTTGTGAGTGCTAGTGTCTGACACCCATTTTCATCATTTCTACCCTTCTTCCCATCAAAATATAGTTTTTCTTTTAAAATAAAATTACTGATTACATTGCTCTTTTTTAACAATGAGATTGTCTTATTCAGCTTTACTTGGATCATTTATTTTTTTACTTCTTTTGGTTCGTAGCCTGTCTTCAGTGCACCTGTTTTAGCTGAGATGATGAGACCTGATAGTCCTTCAACAGCTTCGGTTCTAAGTGGAGAGTCCCTGTCAGCTGAGATGGCTCATAAAATTATGGGTATTCAGGTAAACAGTTACTCTAGTTTGATCACAATTAATGTTTTCTGGTGCTGTACATCTGATGCATTGGGACTATGGTTGCCGTAAGGAATCTTTCTAGCTTGCTGTTCTGCTGGCATCCGTTTGCCATATTCTGCTGGTCATGTCAGAGGGAGTTCATGATGCTAGCATGTGGCATTTGATGTTAACGGTATACTCTTGAGTCTTATCTGTTGATTTTATGTGAAGATAGTACAAATTTTGTTCATGATTATGTTGTACTTTGAAATGAGTGTGGTTGTGGGCCAAAGAAAAAGGCGTGTGTGCTTATGTGATTTTTTTTTCCTTTTTTCTTTTTTAGAACTGTTGTGCCATGAGTTTAATCCGTTATTGAATGCTTGAATAATTACCTTATTCCTGAATTATATGTCGCAGAAACAAGATTAGAATTCAATGTGATAGGGAAATAACACCTGAAATCATGCTGTTTAGGATCTATTTCTTTCTGTTATCATTTGCAATGATTAATTGCTATTTAATCACCATTGGCATTACTCTGTTCTTTTCTTCGTTTTTTTTTTTTTTTTGGTAGGCCGATAGATTTTACAATCTCAAAACGGCACCAATTCATATCTTTAGACAACTGTTCCTTGATCACTTCTGGTTTTTCATTACATATCAGCTGTCATGATGCCAGAAGTTTTCTATGTAAAATAACCATTGTTAGGATTATATGAGTGGGATAATTTATCTTTTTATTTAAATAAATTGCTGGATACAATCTGGAATAGGTAATTCAAGCTTATCTTTGTTGGGGTCAAAAGATAAATCATTCGAAACTATTCTTAAGTCTTGACTCTTGAGTATTAGAAGAGAAATATTAGTCTTCTCCTGTTATTCTGTTTGCGTGATCCATCGCGCATACCTTATGTAGCAGCAGCAGCTGCTGCTGTTCTCCTGGGTATATAATCTGGAATAGTTAAATCAACGACTAGCTGCTTCTTGTTTTCTTTCATCTTTTTATGTTGCTTATGGTATCAGTGCAGTAATGGTAAAAACGATTCTCAACATGGACAAGCTATGTCCTCAAACTTTGTGAATGAAGAAATAGTTGCAAATATAGCCGTTAATTCTAGTGGGTTTTGTAATCATTTCATCCATTTGACCTAAAAACTTAATTGTTAAAACTAGTTGATATAGTCTCAGTATATAAAGTGTGATTGATTGGAGGGATTGACTTGGCCCCCCCCCCCCCAAAAAAAAAAAGGGAAACAAAACAAAACGACTTGGAACATGCTCAATATATAAGGTTTATTAAAAGCTAGCCACAATTACTTGGAAGATTGAAAACATTTCAAGGGTTATGATAGGAGTTCTTGAAAAAAAGGTGAACAACTGGAAGGGGGTCATAGTTCATGTGATATAATATCAAGGGACTTTAGAGGAAAGAAAATAGGCCTGCAAATGCTGGATAAAAGTTGCACAGTGCTGAATAAGGACTGGACAGTACTGAAATTGTACCAATAACAGATTTTGAGCATGTATAGCAGCCAATCACAGATAAGTAGATCAGCAAATGCCTAGTAGTTCTCAGAAAGTCAACTAAAAAATGGCAAAAACATCAGCTTAGACAAAGCAACTAGAGCAGGAGAAGAGGGATAAAAACCAACATGCATTGTGAACAGCATTAGTTGTCACCGTCTAATCCTTTCATCAAAGACATTCATTGACTCACGTAGGATTGCTGAATGGAATGATTCCTCCCCCGCCTTCACATGCTGGTGCATGGGATGACAGGTAGAATAGTTCATCATAACACGTGTGAGTGGATGGGAGCTCTGATTATGACTGGACCACTTGCTGGCGTCTTTAGAGCCTTGTGGTGGGTGTATGCAGCCAGAAGTAGTGGTGGAAATCACTGACCCCTACGAAACGGTAGATTTTTTATTTTGAAAAAAATTGAAATGGATGAAAAGGAGAATAAGTGAATGGAAACGATAGCAACTGAAGTGGCACACAGCCACCTGTGGTGCGATACCATGAAGAGTATGCGTGATTATGAGGAAGTATGAGTAAAGAATATAAGGGGAATTAGTCTTGAGTATTTGATCCGCCTGGCTATATTATTTACAGAATATACAGGACAAGCATTGTGGAGTAATCTATATGATAGCTCGATGATCATATTCCTCGGTGTAGTCGGTAATTAAATAGTGTACAAGAGAATCCTCCATATCAAGTGGGATTTGGGAAAATTCAAAAAACGGATAATGGAGATATTCCCTTATATGTGCCGAGATATACTCCTTAGATCCTATCTAATAAACACAAATATTTACAGATATAAATAAACATAAATAATCTATTTACCATACTCCCCCTCAAGTTGATTCATAGATGCTCATCATGTCCAACTTGCTGACAAATTTTTTGAATACATCTTCTGAGAGTCCTTTCGTGAGGATATCCGCAATTTGCATCTTGGTAGGAACATGGGATAGACAGATAATCCCATCTTCTACCTTTTCCCTTATGAAGTGTCGATCTATCTCCACATGTTTGGTTCTGCTGTGTTTGAACTGGATTTAACGCCATACTGAGGCTGCTTTGTTATCACAATAGAACTTCAATGGAGAGTTGATCGCAAAGTATGCCTCTTCAGCTACTCTTCTTATCCATAGACCTTCCATAATACCCTGAGCCAATGCTCTCAATTCTGACTCTGCACTGCTTTTTGCTACAACCCTTTGTTTTTGGCTTTGCCATGTCACTAAGTTGCCCCAAATAAAGGTATAGTATCCTGAAGTTGATCTACTGTTTTCCTGGTCTCCTGCCCAATCAGCATCAGTGTAGATTTCAACAGATCTATCATTGCTCTTCTTAAAGGACAAACCACGACCAGGAGTGCCTTTAAGGTATCTCAGTATTTTGTAGGTTGCATCCATGTGCTTCTTTTTCGGTGAGTGCATATGCTGGCTTGCTACACTCACAGCAAAAGCGATGTCGGGTCTAGTATGTGAGAGTAGATTAACTTCCCAACTAGCCTTTTGATAACATCCCTTATCTGTAGGTGCTTCATCTTTCTCCTGTTTCTTTCTCCTTGCAGCTTCTTTTTCAGTTTTCTGGTTTTTTTTCCCTTTTCCCTTTTCTTTCTTTTTCTTTTTGATATTTATGGGCACTTTACTTGGTTTTGCATCCAAGCATTCTGGTTTCCTTAAGCAAGTTCCAGGATGTATTTTCGTTGGCAGATAGAAATACCCTCTTTTGACCTTGCAACTCCATGCCTAGGAAATACTTCAACAACTTTCCAAGATCCTTTACTTCAAATTCTTTATTCAAGGCTGCCTTTATCCTGTTCATCTCCTCTATATCATTACCAGTAAGAACAATGTCGTCGACATACACAATGAGAATGGTGATGAGATCCCCATTTTTGGAGACAAACATTGTGTGATCTGACAAACTCTGCTTGTATCCCTTAGCTTTAAGAACTTTAGAAAACCTATCAAACCATGCTCTGGGTGACTGCTTTAGCCCATATATAGATTTTTTCAACCTGCATACCTGATTGTTTCTACCTATTTCAAAACCGGGTGGCAAGGACATATACACTTCTTTTAGTTCACTATTAAGGAAGGTGTTCTTGATGTCTAATTGCTGTAAGGGCCAGTCAAGATTCACTGCAATAGACAGAAGGAAGGACCCTGATAGTATTCAGTTTTTGCCATAGGAGCAAACATCTCATTGTAATCCACCCCCATACGTTTGAGTGAATCTTTTGCAAACCAATCTAGCCTGGTGTTTATTGAGAGACCCATCTGCATTGTATTTAGGAGTAAATACCCCCTTGTAGCCTACTGGTTTTCTTACCAATGGTAATTTGGTAATTTCCCATGTACCGTTCTTCTCTAAGGCTCTATTCTCTTCTTCCATGACAGCATCTTTCCACTCTGGGATTTTAAGGGCTTCATGAATATCATTAGGAACTGTAATCTTATCAAGATTAGTTACAAAGGTATAATGACTCTTAAAGAGAGCAGTATAGGTCACAATTCTGGATAGGGTGTTTAGTGCAAGAACGACTTTTTTTTCTCAAAGCAATAGGTAGATCCAGTTCACATACCTCTTTTTGAGCAGTTTCTATACCAGCCTCAACAATGTTAGGATCTGTCACCGGTTCGATAAGTGGCATGGCCTCAGGTATGACAGCCCCATTTGTTTGCTTGTCTCTACGGATATATACCTTATCAAACTTGTTTCTTTCTGCTTCTTGTGAGTCTCACTTATTGCACTAGGCGCACAGTCATAATGGAGGGTGATCCCCAAGGAATCGGAGAAGGATTGGAGGAGATGGGAGGTATAGGTTCTGGAACACTTGTAGTAGGCTGAAATTCACTCCAACTCTCCCACTGAAATGAAGCAGGTGGATAATATGGTTCATTTTCGACAAAGGTGATGTCTCGGCTGACAAACAGCGTTTAGAGACCGGATCATAACATTTATATAACTTTTTTGAAGATTGGAATACCCGAGGATACACTTAACAACTGCCCGAGGGTTAAACTTGGAAGATGGATGGTGAATATGAGTAAAGACAGAACAGCCAAACACACGAAGGGGTAGAGTAGAGTCTAGGTGAGACACTAGATGGGTTTCACGGAGTTTGGCAAGAGGAGGTATAAGAGATGGTACGACTCGGTAGACGATTGATTAAGTGTGTGGCAGCAAGAAGATGGCATCCCCCCAGTAAAACTTAGGTACATGACAAGTGTAGAGAAGTGCACGAGCAACTTCAAGGAGTTGTTTATTTTTTCGTTCAGCAATACCATTCTGTTGAGGGGTGTGAGGGCAGCTACTTTAAGAACAATGCCATTATTTTTTAGAAAGGGGTCAAGGTATTGATTGAAATATTTCGGTAACATTATCAGTATAGAGGACTTTTGGACAGAGGTGTTGTAACTGACTTTTGACATAGTTAAAAAATTCAATAAATGTAGTAGCAACAGCAGATTTTTCTTTAAAAGGTAACCAACAGCATGCGAGTGTGGTCATCGATAAAGGTGACAAAATTTTGAGTTTGATTAGGAATACGCGAAAGACCCCAAACATCACTATGTACAATAAAAAAGGACGAGATGACCGGTAAAACAAAAGGAGAATAAGTGATACGATGGTGTTTGTCTAACTCACAAACATCACAATTATAAACTGTCTTTATTTAAAGATAAATCAGGAAACAATTTTGCATATAAGAAAAAAACTAGGATGACCCATCCTTTGAGCCATAACATGAAATTATTTTCTTTAGGAGTGGAGACAGAGCCACTTATTCTGGAACACAAGGCAGTAACTGTGGAGACATCAAGGTAATAGAGGTCCGTACTCTTCAGCCAGCCAACCAATCATCGTCCTCGAGGAGAGATCCTGAAAAATACAATGACATGAGACAAAAGAAGTGAGCACAACATTTGTGTGTTTAGTCACTTGCTGATAGACAAGATTACAGGCGAGATGGGGAACATGCGCAAAACGATTGAAGCTGAAGTTTATCAATGAGATGGACAGTGCTTGTTCCGGCTATAGGAGAGGGCAAACCAGTGGCTGTTTTAATGGTTTGATTTCCTGCTGAAGGAAGGTAAGAGACAAACATTCTTGCTTCTGATGCCATGTGATCAGAGGCCACCACTATCTACAATCCACTTAGAGGGCATAAATGAGGTTTGAAGGGCAATAGAATTACCTTTCTGAGCAACAGAGGCAGAAGCCACTGGCTTCTTCTGGAGCCGGTAGAGTTTTATATGAAGTCTAATAATTGCCCCAGTTGTTCCTGGCTAATGCTAGGAATCGTGTAGAAGTTAGAGGCAGTCGGCAGTGGTTGCACATTGTTCTTGTATAGCCTGATTTGCACGAGGCTACTCCTTCGTTCGGTTTCCAGTCAGCAAGTTTCCCAACAAGATCCCAGCACACCAGTCACGTGTATGTCTGGTCTTCTTACAGTGATCACAGGTGAGTTTCCCCTTGTTTTGAGAGGAGCCGTGGTTGATATTTTTACTGATAAAGGCAAAAGAGTTTGAGACAGTCATTCTTGGTCCGGGTAGTTACACATTACTACGTCTGAATTCATTCATGGCGAAATTCATATATCTCTCTGGTGGTGTGGTGTAGTAGTATAGTATTTGGCCTAAAATCTGAGCGTGTACATTGTCAAACTCTGGGTTCAGGCCAGCAAGGAACAGTAATACTCGTTTCGTTTCAATATTCTTTTTGTTACAAGCAGCATCAGTAGCGAAAGACCATTCTTCAGTGGTAATCAAATCCAATTCCTGCCAGAGGGCTACGAGTTCAAACCAGTATTTAGTAACACTTTGTGGACCCTTTACACACCTCTAGGTGTTGACTATGCAAGTCAAACGGCCGAGAGTGATCCTTAGCATCAGAGTAGGAATCACAAACAGCTCCCATATTTTCTCGAGCCGTGGGAAGATATACATAAGGTTCGTTTGAGCTGTGGAGACATTGCATTAATCAGCCAGAAGAGACCAAGGCATTATCATCCTCATATCCTGAGCCATCGCAGGAGGAGGTGGGTTTGACGGATAGACGCATCACCACCTTGAGGAACCCAAGTTTGCCACGACCTTCAATGGCAAGCAGGACGGCCTGGGCCCAGTCACAGTAATTGGTAAGAGCTAGTCGTTCAGAGACGATCGAAACAGGGGACCCAAACACAGACGGTCCATCGGCAGCGCTCAATCCATTGGAGTCACTGACCTTCGATGACGCAGACGTGGTCGACCCATCAGGAGAAGTTGCCATAGAAGCAGGCTTCTCAATTGGTGGCCAGAGAGAGCGCCAGAAGAGACTTATCGGGCTGACAGAGAGCGCTACGGCTCTGTACCATGTGGGATACAGAGTATGATAGCTCAATGATCATATTCCTCTCTATGTAGCCAGTAATTAAATAGTGTACAGGAGACAATCCTCACATAATCAGTGGGATTTGGGAAAAATTCAAAAAAACAGATAATGGGATATTCCCTTATATGTGCTGAGATATACTCCTCAGATCCTATCTAATAAACAATATTTACATATATAAATAAACATAAATAACCTATTTACCACAAGAATCAATGACAGATACCTGCAAATCAAATCTGTTTAATCAGAGTCTGGTCAGCTGATGGAACGTGCAAGATGTTTTATTAATGCTGAATAAGCTATGGTATACAGCGTACAAAATTACGCCAGCAAACAGTAAAACCAGGTCTGAAATACTGAATAACCAAATGAGATGAAATAGCAAAAGCAGGGATAAAATGTTTGTTTGATATTAAGAAATGGATCACCCCTTTTGCAGAACCACTTCTTGTTCACCTTAACTTTCATGTACATTGGCCCCAATTAACATCTTGTCTCTCCCGATTATTCCAGCTGAGTAATGCTCAACACGAAATCCACGTTCCCTAGATTGAAGAGGTAAAATGTTGTTTTTGATATTAAGGCCTTGTAATTTTAATTCCACAGTTGGATATTCTCCCTTCGTATAACCTTTCTAGAATAGATTGATGAATTTCTATCCCCATTTCACTCGCTGTCTGTTCATTTGAATTTGGAAAGCAACAAGGGAACTAGTAGCATTAGTAAAAATTTAGGTCTACTTCATTTTTCATTTGAGTGCAGTGACAAAATAATTAGCATGTTGTACGATCTGATTTCTTTTATTTTTCTTTTCTAATGGGATGTGCCTTTTCAGTTTGTTAATAAACTAAGATGATGATTCTCTAATCTCTATTCACCTTTGAGCTTTCTAGAATATAGATATCCATTTAGTTGAAAAGTACATTGTTGATTCAACAACAGGACATATAACAAAACCACTTTATTTATTGCCTATAAATTAGCATGAAGCTTTTTCTTAACCTCCTTTATCAATTTATTATTAATAATCATTTCATTCCGTCAAGGCTCTTGATATTTTCCTGAAGATCATGTTCTTATTATCATGCAGGTTGACTTGTTGAAGCATGGCATATCAAACCCTTTCTCCCTCGCTTCATCTGTATCACAGAGCTCAAGTTCGGGTCTTGAAAAAGATAACAAAGTTGCAGAAAGGGAAGAGTACATGGCTACTCCAGTTTTTGTCCACTCCAAGTAAGTCATGTGCAACGTTTGCATGAGCAAGGAAGAACATACGTAACAATTGTTGTTATTGAGCAATCATTGGGGATAAGTTGCTGCTTTGCTGGCCCAAACAACCCTTTCTCCTGAAATTTCAGTAGAGGGGTCTATCACTACCCAACCATTGACATTGATAATTAAATCAATGCCCTCTTAATTCCTATTGGTTTCTGAATTTGTTGATTTGTGGAATATTTCCTTTGTACTTTCACCCTATATTGGCAAAGCGTTGGATCTTGATAATTTGGCCCACCACAGACTTTCCAACAATGGGACAAAAAGGATTTTGGTTCAACCATTCTTTCTCTTTGTTTGGATTGAGAGAAAAAGATGAGAGGAAAGAAAAGTAGCAGAGAAAATATGAGGGAAAGCAACTTTTCTCCCATTTGGACAAGGAAGGAAAGCTGGGGGAAGGGGAAACACGGGGGAAAATGTGGGGTGGGATTCACCATTTTTTTGCTCCAAATTTTCTTTCCAGGTGACTTTTAGAATAAAATATGGTTATTCCGCCACTGCCCTCATCCGTCTTTTCTCTCTCCCTCATTGTCTTCTCCACTCCTCGCCTTTGCCTCTCTCGCCTTTAGCTCAGTTATTTCTTCACCAATGTCAGTCTTTTTCTCTGTTCACCGCTTCGTTAATTCGCTATTCATCAAATATATTTGCTCCGTACTGATTTATGATATTTCTGGAGGCCACTGGATATTGCGAGTTATTCTGGAGATATTGGCATTTTGATTTTTAAGCTTATATTTTGTTTTTTAAAAGGTGTCCATTTTAATTTTTAAATGGGAAAAATATATTTTTTGCCAAATCATTTGATTTTATAATATAAAGATACAAAAATTTTGTCAAATAATCTGATTTTAAAATATGTTTATGGTAATAACTTGAATATAATTTTTGTTTGGAATTAACTTTAGTAGGAATGATGACATAATATATTTCTACATAGGGAGATTATTGCCCTTGTAACATTTGTCGATTTTATTTCTATTGAGGTTTTTCCTATCCACTCAAACAAAATGATTGATAACTTTCTCTCTCCAGTTTTTTTACCTCCCATTTTCCTCCTCTCTCAATGTTTCATCCCCTCCATACCATTAATGAGTCTTCATCTCTTCACCCAGCCCGTTCGTGGTGTTTAGAGGTTAAGACCTGACACATGAACTTCGACCCTAATATCGTCTAACAACCCTCTCACTAATGCATTCCTAACCTATTCATATAATGTATTTTCATGAATCTGATACAAACAAACAAACAACAAGCCTTATCCCACTAGGTGGGGTCGGCTACATGAATCACACGACGCCATCGTGCTCTGTCAACAACCCAATCCTTAGATATGTTGTTGATTAGGAGGTCTCGTTCAATGACCTCATTCAGCGTTCTTCTCGGTCTTCCCTGCCTCTTTTTATGGGACTCCATCTTGTTTGATCCACCCTCCTCACCGGGGCCTCCAAAGGCCTTCTCTGCACATGTCCAAACCATCTTAAGCGATTTTCAACCATTTTCTCTTGGATAGGTGCCACACCGACTCTTGTCCTGATCTTTTCATTTCGAATCCTATCTTTTCTTGTATGACCACACATCCATCTCAACATCCTCATTTCTGCTACTCCGACTTTGTGCTCTTGTTTTCCCTTTATTGCCCAACATTCACTACCATACATCATAGCTGGTCTTATAGCAGTCCGATAAAATTTTCCTTTAAGTTTCTCAGGTACCTTCTTATCGCAAATAACTCCGGTAGCTTTCCTCCACTTTAACCAGCCAGCTTGTATTCTATGAGAAATGTCTCCATCAATTTCCCATCCTCCTGTATAATGGATCCTAGGTATTTAAACTTTGATACTTGAGGAATAATTTGCTCTCCCATCCTCACCTCCAAATCCCTATTACCTTGCCTCCCTCCAAAATCACAATGCATATATTCTGTTTTGTTCCTGCTCAAACGGAAACCTTTCGACTCCAAAGTCCTTCTCCATAACTCCAAACCAGTGTTAATCTCTTCTTTTGATTCCGCCATAAGAACTATATCATCCGCGAAGAGCATGGACTTAGGGATTCTTTCTTGAACAGGTTTAGTTAGAACATCCAGAACAATGTTGAACAAGTACGGACTCAGAGAGGATCCCTGATGTAGGCCAATCTTAATAGGAAAGTCCTTTGTCTCAGGCGTCCTTACACTGGTAGTTACCGCCTCATACATATCTTGTATGACTTTGATATACGCAACCCGTACATCTTTCTTTTCCAAAGCCTTCCACAATACTTCTCTTGGCACACGATCATAAGCCTTTTCCAGGTCAATAAAAACCATATGTAAGTCTCTTCTTTTACTTCTATATCTCTCCATTAACCCCCTTAGTAAATAGATTGCTTCCGATGTGGATCTCCCTGGCATAAATCCAAATTGGTTTTCCGAAATAGAGGTCTCCAACCTCAATCTATATTCCATCACTTTTTCCCACAACTTCATTGTATGACTCATAAGTTTTATCCCCCTGTAGCTTGCACAGTTTTGAATGTCTCCTTTATTCTTGTAAATAGGAACTAAAATGCTTTTCCTCCACTCATCCGGCATATTTTTAGAGCGTAGAATTTCATTAAAAAGCTTGGTTAGCCATACCTCCCCTCATCGCCCAAACATTTCCAAACTTCAATAGGGATACCATCAGGCCCAACGGCTTTTCCATTGTCCATTTTCTTGAGAGCCGCCTTAACCTCTCCGATACGTATCCTGCGGTAGAAAGCCAAATTCCGATCATCTTCGTTAATTAGCAAGTCCTGCAAGTCCTGAGTCGCATAATTGCTTCCCTCATTAAACAACTTGTAAAAGTAAGCCTCCCATCTGTCCTTAATATCACCATCAGTAACTAACACTTTACCATCTTCATCCTTTATACACTTAACTTGATCCAGATCTCTCTTTTTCCTCTCCCTTTGCTTCGCATCTTGTAAATATTTCTTTCTCCCGTCTTTGTTCCTAACTCCTGATAAAACCCTTCATAAGCTTTAGTACGTGCTTCGCTCACTGCTCTCTTTGTCTCTTTTTTAGCCAACTGATACTTTTCCTGGTTCTCTACACTATTGCACAAATGTATGGCCTTAAAACAATTTTTTTCTGTTTGACTTTCTCTTGCACACTCTTATTCCACCACCAAGTCTCCTTAACTCTTTGACCAGGACTTTTGGATTCTCCCAAAATTGCTTTAGCTACCAAACGAACCCTTGTAGCTATCTCTTCTCACATCATGTTTGCATTTCCCTGCAACTCCCAATTCCCTTCCTTCAAAAGAGTCCTTTTGAATAACTCCCGCTTCTCTCCTTTTAACTGCCACCACTTAATCCTGGGTTTTGCCACTTGATGGTACTTTTGCCTGGTACTCTTAAAACATACATCAAGGATAAGTACTCTATGTTGGGCACTCACCCCGTTTCCTGGAATCACTTTGCAATTAGTACACAATCTTCTGTACGGATTCTTAACCAAAAAGAAATCAATCTGTGATTTTGAGACACCACTTTTGTACGTGATTAAATGCTCCTCTCGCTTCTTAAAACAAGTGTTGACAATCTTAAGATCGTATGCCAGAGAAAAATCGAGAATAGATTGTCCTCCACTGTTAAGCTCCCCAAAACCAAAACCACCATGGGCCCCGCTGAATTGTCCTGCTTCTTTACCAACATGTCCATTAAGGTCCCCACCGATAAAATTTTTTTCTTCGAGTGGTATGCTTTGAACCAAGCCCTCCATATCTTCCCAAAACTTATCTTTAAGGTGTGTCTCTGCTCCAACCTGAGGTGCATAGGCACTAATGATATTGATAGTATCCTTTCCAACAATTACCCTTAACGATATTATTCTGTCCTCAAACCTTTTAACCTCTACCACGTTTTTTTTCCATGTCCCATCAGCGATGATACCAACCCCATTCCTTGTGCTCACCTTTCCTGTGTACCAAAGTTTATACTCTCCAAGTTCCTTGGCAGCTTCTCCGGTCCATTTGGTTTCTTGGAGGCATAAGATATTAATCCTTCTGTCCCTCATAACTCCTGCTACTTCCATAGATTTCTCATTTAACGTCCCAATATTCCAAGTACCAAATCTAATCTCAGTCTCATGAACTAACTTCTTTAGCCGCCTCCGTCCAAGAGAGTGCGGTAGCCCTTGCTCATTTAACACTACATCCGGGCGACGATGCAGCGGCTCTAGCTCATTTCTCACTGTACTCGAGCCATACAGCGTGTCACATCTGGGCAACGACCTAGCATTAGCATAATTACTTCGTTGATCCATGTTCATGAGATTCGACGGGTTTTTACGTTGGCTGTCGAGGGCCTAACACAACCCTCCTCCTTTATCCGGGCTTGGGACCGGCTATACAACATAGGCGGAGTTATTTTCATGAATCTGATATCCACCTAAAAACATTCTCTGTATAACAACTGCATCTCAAGAATGCGTGCCTTATTTGTTCTTATTCATGGCTCCGCAAGTTCCATCTCCAATCTCATATGCTGCTACTTCGGCTTCTCTAAGTTGGGAGCAACGTCATCAATCATTTGTTATGTTCTTCAAGTTGAATGAGAATTTCTTGATTGTTAGCGTGTACTTATGCAATGTTGTTGTGTTTGACTCCAGTTTTCCTAATTTCTGTTAAGTTTCCATGTGCGCACTTTAGAATTGTATGCACATTTATCTATTCTTGGAAGTTGCTGATTCAGATGCCAAGTGATTTGATACAGATTTCTACAACTAATAGGCAGAAACATGTGAGATTTGGATTATGTGACAGCATGCTTCTATTCTTTCCGTCAAAATTTTGCTCTTCCCTACCTTCCCCTTCTTTATCTTCTAACCATTCCCAATGACTGAAAGTCCGAAAATAATTCCCTATCTTCAACCATTTTGTTGTGTAGCCTCTGCAGTTGAAATCCTCTTATTGAACGGCAAAATGTTTTGTTGATAATTCCATAGGGCTATATGGTTATTGTTGGACTCTATTATTACTACCTCTGGTTCTAAATATAAAAGCTAATTTGAGATTCAATTTGATTCTAAATATAAGATTCTAGTCCATTTTATCTCTCATATTTATTTATTTTTTCCTAAAGTAGTTCTCATTGTGATTAAAAATGTTAAAAAGTTTTCATTCTAATGTATATGATTAACAAGGCTATTTTAGGAAAGAATTCATTTATTACAAACAATGAACTTAACTAATTTTCTTACAACAACAACAACAACAAAGCTTTATCCTGCTAGGTGAGGTCGGCTACATGGATCATACAACGCCATTGAGCCTTATCCAAAGCCAAATCCTTGGATAGATTGTTAATTAAAATATCTCTCTTAATGACTTCATTAAGCGTTGTCTTCGGCCTTCCTCTACTCTTTTTTAAAACTAACTTAACTAATTTTCTTAATATACGCAAATTAGTTATCTAGCTTTTATACTAAGGATCGAAAGTAATATTTCAGTTCATCGATATATCATTGAGCAATTTGTTGATATTGTTTTGAAGTTATGGGTTGATTGGTTAATTTCATTCTATGTTAATGTTTCCTCTGTTGCTATTTGTGTGTTGGGGGTGTACCAGATTGTTCAACTCAGGGTGGCAAAAGTTGATGCGTTTCCTTTTGATGTCTCTAGGGTGCAGGATCGGGACGCAACTCCTCAAAATTTTGTATTATTGAAGAAGGCACTTCTGAAGTATTTTGAGACATCTTCATTTGTGAAACATCATTATAATAATAGTCAATTGGATTCTAATGGGCCAAATTTACATTTGCATATGATACCATTGAAGAAAAGAGATGAAAATTTTGGAGCTCAACACGAGAGTTTCATCTCTGCACTATGGAAACTGCGAGAACAGGTCTCTCTCTTAACATGAACATTCATATTTATCAAGTTTTATACTTTCCCAACTTTTTTTTTTCCCCAAACATCCATGAAATTCAAGTGTCTGTCCCTTTCAGATTTTGTCTATGAAGTCTCCCTCTTCCATGAGGCCTGCATCTGAACGTGAATGGTTGAAGCATTCTGCCAAGGTATGGGAACAAGTGAGGAACTCTCCCATAATATTGGAGTATTGCAGAACACTGCAACAATCAGGTCTCTTCAGGAGGTAGAAGGTTTAAAGTCTCCCAAGTAGTATCGTAAAATGTTTTCTTCCCCCAGAAAGGAAGGGGGGCGGGGATATTTGTTGCCGTTGATAATATCCAATGTTAGCAGCGTTTTATGTAAAATTATATTTGCCGGAGTTTACTTCTATTCTTGATCCCAGGATATTTAAAGATTCCGTTTGGTTCGGTTTTGGACAACCACATCGAATAAAATCTATCGGTTCACAAAAGTTGGGGCCTATTCGGTTTTTGAAGGAATTGGTTCGGTTCCGCTTTGGTTGTTTTGAATGATGTTAAAATGACTTTTTATTTGAAAATAGAATTTTTTTAATTTAATTTTGTATACTTTTAAAATGTACGTATGACTATTTTTTCCCCTGCATGTTTCATTGGAATTAAAAAGAATCCCAGGCATCATTTACTTTGCCTTGAAATTTACTTTTTAAATTTTATTCCTATTTAATATATATACTATTGGGAGAATTTCATTAAAAGAAACTATAAATTACTAAATTCTGAATAAAAAATTTCCAGAATAATATATGCACTATTGTTATTATTTGCAGGTTTAGTGTTATTAAAACTTTAATAAATTATTGTCACCAAACTTGATTTGTGATTTGTAATTTCAAGTTTTTTTGTTTGTGGGATTCTTATACTTTTCCACTAAAAATCTGCGCAAGAAAAAATGAATAAAATAATATATTTATATAAAAAATTAGGACAGTGATATAAAAATGATAAATTTCTCTTTGGTCACCTAAATAATAAAAATTCTTGTTTAGTAAAATTTGTTGGAAAGACTAAATTGCCTTTAAAATTTTTTTTAACATGTTTTTAAGGAAATTCAAAAATGGGTATTTTTTAATAATGCGGTTAACAAGTTTTTTCAATGCTATTGACAAGTTTAGTATAGTAGTTTACAATAGGTTTTTTAGGAAATTTAAAAATTAGTATTTTTATAATTTTAGTAATGCAGTTGCAAGTTCTTTAATGCTATTAATAAGTTCATTATAATAGTTAATAATAGGTTTTTTAGAAAATTCAAAAAGTAGCATTTTTAATGATATGAACAACTCCCATTAACAAAATTTCCTATGAAGGTTATTTTCTTTAATATTAGCTCCCTATAAAGATCATGCAACAAAATTTTTTTATTTATGATTGTGAGAGTTGTTAATATCATTACATGACTTTGTATTAGAGTTGTTAATGGCATTATGATAATTGTTAATACCATTGTATGACTTGTTAATCATATTACTGACATTGTAAAAATGTAATCTTTTGAAATTCTGAAAAACCTGTTGTTAACTACTATATTGAATTTGTTAATAGTGTTAAAAAACTTGTTAATTGTGTTACTGAAATTGTAAAAATGCCAGTTTTTGAATTTTTTGAAAAACCTGTTGTTAACTATCATATTGAACTTGTTAATAGTATTAAAGAACTTGTTAACTATGTTACTAAAGTTGTAAAAATCTCAAAAAAATAGTTGTTGATCACCAGAGCTTCGGTGATCGGTTGTCGACCAGCCATGGGAGCTCAGGCGACTAGCTAGTGAGGGTGCTTGATGATTTTTAAAAAAAAAATTAAGGACAATTTCTTCTTTTCAGCAAATTTCAAAATCCCAATTTAGTCATGTGTGACCAAGTGGGAATTTTCATTATTCAAGGGACCAAATGGGGATTTCTAAATTTAAGTATCATTTTTGTGTCATTTTACTTGAAAAATTTAATAAGATGACTTATAAATAGGAAAAAAAAAAATCTCTGCCTTATAGGACGAGAGGATATGTTATATGTGTAATATTCTATATTCTTTGATATTTAATTTTTATTTTTTATAATTCTAAATCAATATTAAAACGACATATTAAAATTTTAAACTAAAAATGTAATTTTGTTTAAATAACATATTTGATGAATTAATTTAAACTCCAAAGGTGACAATTTTAAAGGGGAGAGATCAAAAAACTCTCCCAAGTGTGGAGCCTTTTTAAATAGGACTTCAAATGACATTGAAAGTTTTTAAAAAGCTTAAATAAATATATGGTTAATGTTATGAATATAATAATATTTTTATGAATGTCCATATATTTCTAATTATCTCCAATATCTCTATAATCTCCTATTATCTCTATATCTCATAATTATTTCCTATTATTATGTAATTTGTAGATTTTGTCAAAGATATAAAGCTGTGGCTGTAAATAGAAACCATGTATCATGTATTAAGCATCCTTGAATAGAAACCGATTTTTAAAACAATGATAGATAATCCTTTTAATTCTATATAATGGCTTAGGTTATCTTAGATAAATTGAATAGGGATATGGATACTCTGAAACACTATACATGTGATGCTTGAGATATTTTTATTTGAATAAAGCAAAGTATACTCTAGAAAAACATAGAGTTGATGCTCTAAAATTATGCTGGGTTTGAAAAGTATATCATACGTAAGTTGGGATCGATATTAGATAAGAACCGCCTTATTCTTGTTTGTCTCTAAATGAAACAAAATAATGTTTCTAAAAGAAACTTATGAATTAAGAAGACTTACATTGCATGTTCCCAACATGAGGGGAAGATGCAATTATAGAATGCATTTTTACTATCAAATGTACATCCTCAAATAGGGGTGGAAATAGGCCAGCGGCCTGTCAGGGGCCTATGACCTGGCCTGTAAATGGCCTGGCTTGCCTGGCCTATTTAGATATCAAACCAGGCTCAGGTCTGTAAAAAGGTCTGATAGTCAGGCTCTGATAGTAAGCCTGTTAGGCCTGTCAGCGGCCTGGGCCTGTTATCTTCTTTTTTTTTTTTAGGTTAAAATTGTAAATTGATAGGAGGGAATCTGCTATTCTGATTGGTTAATTGAGAAAATTCTATCCACATAAAAGTGTTATTTAGAGTCTATTGCATGTTTCATTTCATTTCCATTCTCTATAATAAAAATAATTTATGTATGTATAATGACACATATTTGAATAGAGAAAGAAAACATAAGTGCATTAAAAAAAATAAAAACATCATTCATTTATTTGATCCATGCTTTTCATATTAATCTTATATAGAATATATATATATATATAATTGACCTATTATGTTTTAGATTGTATATATGTGCTCAATCTAATTCTTATTATAATAGTTACTTAATTAATTTAAATAAATAAATTATAATAATTGTAACATTTTTTTTTAAAACAACCATGTGTAACAACAGGATCAAATATCATTTTGTGAGTAAATTAGTTTGAATAAATGATAAATTTAAAATATAAAAGGGATTAAGGATGTTTCATATTTTAAACTAGATCTAGTCATCAACTAATATTTATACTAGAGATGGGATGAAGTGATATTTTTATATCAGAGTGAACTTATGTTTTCTAATAATTTTTCATATTAGATTTTTTTTTGGGCATAAGGGGACATGTTTTACAAATTGTGTTAATTTGATAATTTCATATTTTTTGTTTGTATTTTTAGATCAATTAGATTGAATTATTGTTATTTTGAATTGATTTATGTGTGTTTAAAATTTGTTAATAATAAAAAAAAGGCTTCTTAATAAGCCACAGGCCAGGCTCAGGCCGATTAAAAGGCCTTTCACAGGCCGCAGGCCAGGCTCAAGCTAACAGGCCTTACCACAGGCCAGGCTTGTTAAGGGTGAGGCTTAGCTTGGTCTGGCCTGTTTCCACCCCTATCCTCAAATATAGTAGTATGAGCTAGAAGTTCATGAGGTATTGCATTCATAAAATATTATTAATATTTGCCAGATGCAATTACTGACCTAAATAAAAATTCTTAATTCTCATATTCTAGCTAAAAGTACTCATATTGATAAAAGTATAAGTGAATGATCAGTTTCAAAAGAAAAAAAGAAAGGAGCAAATGATCAAGATAATCATACTAAGGAGGCATGAATTGCCAAAGAGTTGAGACACAACTATTTGACCTTTGAAGAGGTTTAAATGTTTGAAAGCAATAAAGAGATCTTGATATGTTATGTCATAAAAGAAAAGGGGACTGATAAAAAACTAAAATTGTTGACAATAGTTTTAGTGATAATATCACGTGATCAAATGAGGATCTTAAATATAAATTTGTCATGAGATATAGATAGAAAGATGGTTGGCCAACAAAAGAGGAAAAGAAGTGCAACATTATAATGAGGATTTGTGTATCTCTAGCCCAAACACTTGAAGTGTAATGTTAGTATTATACAAATGGGCATTTATACAGGTGATTGAACATAATTGTTCTATGTCTTTTCATATCTTTTTCAGGGTTTTTGTCATAGTTAGTGGCTCTTTTTGTGATGATTGTGCTTAATTTAGATTAAGAGTCCTTACTTTGAGTTAGTGTCTTTTTTAGGATAAAATTGTCATAATTGGTCATGAATTGCACTTGATAAATTTCTAAGACAATTAATGCTTCAAATTGTTGTTTTCCATTGTAGGACACTTGAGAATTAGAGCCAAGATTGAAGACCAAGAGATTATACAACATAAGAACTCAAAGTATTGATTCTGGAACCGTTGGCCACAACCAAGAAAATCCTTCACCGTGACACAAGTGTGAAAATGTGCATCAGTGTCTATTCTAGAACAGTTTGACGCAGCAAACATTTTTCTTTGCCGTGGTAAACTTACAAAATTTTGTTGAAGCTCCTTTTGGGAAAGCTTTGCCGCGGCAAACATTTTCCTTCGTTGCAGCAAAGTCCTTATATTAGCAATGACATATTGGGCTCTAGAATGTGAAAATAGACCATCTACTCATATGATCTAACCTAGATCAACCCGTAAAACCCTATTTTTGACCTAACACTCTATTCTCTCATCTCCTATACCTCTCTTCACCTATCTTCTTGCCTCTCTCTCTCTCCACCTTCTTTCCCATCCATTTCCTTCACTTTTTCCTGATTCCATCCTATTTTTCTCCACTCCTGGCTACTATAGCTGACAATTTCACTTCGATTGGAGCTGCTTTTGAAGATATGGAGGCTAGGGTTCCACCCTCTTGAAGATGGATGATGGTGCTTGAGTTCCAATGCTTACTAGGAGAGTTTTCTTGTTTCATCCTTTGTTTAGCTATAGGTTTATGATTTCCTAGGTCTTAGGAATGGTAATTTGTAGTTAAACTTTTTGATTATCATTGTAATCACTGTTGGATGATTAATTTGTATTTTGGATTGGTTAATGAGGATTCGTGCTCTTCAATATATGCGATTGTATATATATTCAGTT